AAAAGCCTTATTCCCTGTGCAATCTTGTGAAGCCATGCTCTTCCAGGCACTCCTCTTTAGTTTGAAAATCAGTATCAGATTAACCATAGTATATGTCAGTGACCCACTTCTCCCTAATTTTTTAAGTTTATCCCTGCTATTCTAAATACATTTACATGCACTCACACGTATACACACAAACACACTTTATCCTTTCTTCTGTCCTTTAGCCATTTACTTTTCCCATCAGGGATGAATATCCCTCTCATTCAAGAGTGTGCAACTGCTAAGAATCTCAACCAGAAATTAAGCAACAATTCACTGTCTTAGACCTGGGTGCCTCTGCCATTTTAATCCCAAGTTCTTTCCAACAGCTGATGAGGAGCAGCTGTCTCAAGGACACCTTGATATGCATAAGTTCCTCCTTGTGTCAAATAGACCAGCCTGAGAAACAGCTGTAAAGAAGGCAACGTGTGTGTCTTCTCCTCCCTCCCTTCCAGGCCCCGGTGTCATCATCTCCCACTGCCTCCCAGCACCCACCCCTCCACAGAGGGGTGGTCCCAAACCTCCACAGTCTGGCTTGCCAATCACAGGCACCTCTGCATGCACAGGGCCACGCCTACCTCTTTCTTCCTCCGAGGAAGATGACATGGTTTTATGTCAGTGTCCCTATAAATCCCCTCCTCAACGGATAGGCTAATGAATAACAAGGGGAGAATGAATGGCCCCACCCACCCAAGTAGCAATGCTAATTTAAGAAGATTCTTTCCTGTCATTCCATTGCCTCTTGCTCCCCTCACTACACTCATGTTCAGATTTCTTTACTCCACTTCTTTAACCTTTTTCCCTCCCTTCCTTTCCCTGTTACCATGTATTAACTTTTACCTATCCTTTAAGATTGCTAAAAACCTCACTTCCAACTTGAAGCCTTCCATGACAAGCCAGAAAACTCATTCCCTCTTCTGAACTCTTAGGAACCCTACTAGACACTACTTACGAGCACTCAGCCACACTGCTTTGTAATAGGGTTTTTCAGGCTTTTCTCCTGAGGAAGGAGTAATTCTTTAGACATCTGTGAGTGTCCCCCAGAGTGTCCAGCACAGTGTTTTTTGCATAATCAGTTCTCATCGAGTATCAATGGAATGAGTGCAAGATACCAAAGAGAGTACTCAGATGGGAATGTCTGAGTCTTCTTGAAGCTTGAAGTTAGGGACTTAACTTTTTTTATCATTGTATCTTCATAGCACTGATGCGAATATAATTCATCACTCAGCCTGGAGTACACATATCAGCTTCCTTCTCACTTTCTCACACCATGAGTTGAAAAAACCCAGGTCTAAAGCTTCACTGTTTTCTGGAATCCTTCAGGAATCTCCATATTTTGGAGATTGACTCTCTGCAAAATTTTAATAAAAGAATATTTTTAAAAATGCAGAACCATAATGTAGAATGGGAATAATCCAGCACCTACTGTAGGAATCACTTCATCTAGGAGCTGGACAGCACAGCATATGCATTCAATACAATGCCTTTATCACAGGCAGGAGGACCAAATGACCTGCTAATAGCCTTTAGACACTGATGAGATTGTCCACAAAAGTGCAAGGGCTGTTGGAAAAATACTCCCTTACAAAATACTTGTGTTCCAATGTATTGAACCTGATTGTCAAGCCCCTCACTTTACCCAAAGGACGACTTTTGGAATGAGTATCCTTTTTTAATCTTCCATTTCAGGAGCACTCAGGAATGGACCCAAGAATGGAAAGAATGCCCCGATTATGTCTCCGCTGGAGAAAACAGTTGTTACTTTAATTCATCGTATACCTCCATTTGGATACCTTACTGTATCAAGCTGACTAACAATGGTGGTACAGTGGATCAGAAGTGTTTCTCTGTTGAGGAAATAGGTAAATCACAGGTTTGTGTTTTGTTTGTCACAGCTTCAGACTAAGTAAGTGGGAAAGCCTTCAACGTCAAAATATAATCAAGTAGGAAGACTGTAATAGTGCTCGTTAGGTACTTGGAGATCTAGTTTGCTGGGGAGGGGATCAGCTGGTGAACCAGACGAAAAGGGCAAGGGGATGTAAGTTGACTCTCACATAAAGCAGCCTGGCAGTAAATGGTGTGAAGAAGAGAACAGGAGCCTTGTGGGGTCTTTCTCTGTAGATCTTTAAAGCTGGATTGCAGGCTTGTGTGCCACTGCAAGGGCTGAACTTAATGTACTCTTAAGAATCCTTCTTTCTTAATTATCTATTAGATGGTTATATTCAGATCTACTAAAATACGTTTGAGTTTTGACCTTTGTCACTGCTATAACCGAAACTTAGATTTTCTTTATCACAATGCATAACAATCCTGTAATTTTACAATTATAAAACAGCCATAATCCATTTAAAGACATGTTTAACGTTTGGAAATAATAACCTTAATGGATTAAATGAAAGATTCAAACAAATGATTCTTTGCCCACCAGGTGGACACAAGAGGGAAACAAAGCAAAGCTAAACAAACAGCTCTAATTAGAATATTCATGTTTATATTATAATAGTATAAATAGCAAAGTAGGATCTAAGAAGGACTTTGCACAGCTGAACGTGCCCCACCATCTATCCACATAGGCTCATCCGTTGCTTATGGAACCCTTGTTGTTTCTCTCAGATATGCACTGTCATGTGTGGTTTTCCAGGCAGCAGAAACAAATAAAATTCTATAGCTTGGGTTTGAGGAAGAAAATTAAGAAAATTGTAACAAGCAGAAAAGATAACCCAATTTCATAGTTTAGAGAGGCAAGTTCATAGGTGTCCCAACATCAGTGGGGGTAGGCTGTTCAGGGGTAGCTAATAGGATGGTAGAAGGGGATAAAAGAATACTGGGCTAAGGCCTGTGTTCTCACTCTGTCTCTGCCAATACCAGCCCTCCTCGTTTACTGGGCTGTCTCATACTACATGCCTCCTCTGTGCTGGGTGTAGTGGCTACAGAATGAGTGAGATACAGTCAAGGAGGGGAATTGGGCATGTACACAAATAATACTAGTACAGTGTAGTAGACTCAAGGTGTATGAAAATCAGGATGACCAAAGTGGTGGCCAAGGGGATGAATTACTGACTGGGCCTGAGGGATGAGGAAGGACTGCACGGAGAGAGGGTGGCAGTTCATTGACCTTTCAAAGTCTGAGCAAGAGTTGCCAGGTATCACAGTACCTTCCAGCAACTGCTGAGTCCCAGAAGCGACAAACAGCACAGAATATTCAAGGCCCTGGAAGTGGTGAGGCAGGCCTCCTGGCCAGCTGGAGAAATCATCAGTGGTCTCGTGTGCCCCACAAAGGAATTTGGACTTTATCTTATTGCCAAGAAGTGATTTTGTGGATGTTTATGTAGAGGAATGACCTGAAGATAGTAATAGCTAGCACATACAAAGGGCCACATCCCCAGTATAATAATTGTGTGGGACAGGTTCTGTGATAATCCCCATTTTACAGATGAAACTAAGGCACAGAGCAGTTAAATGACTAATTCAAGCCAAACATCTGGTGACTAGGTAGTGCTGGGATTTGAACGTAAGTAGAATAGCTGCAGAGTCCGTGTGCCTCTCTCAAGGCTCTACTATACCACCTGTTATGTTGTTTATGCCTCAATTTCTGAGACTCCTTCCTGCTTGAAGTTAGGTACTTAATCTTATTTATCATCAGCATAGCACTGCTGCCAAACATAATGCATCACTCAGCCTGCAGCACGCACACCAGCTGCCTCTTCACTCTCTCCCACAGTGAGCTGGAGAAACCAAGGTCCAAAATTTCCCTATTCTCTAGGATCCTTTGGGACTCTCTGTAGTTTAGGGCTTGACTCTGCACTGTTTTAATAAAAGGAATGTTTTTTAAACCTCCCCAAGCTCCGGAACCATCATCTTAGAATGGGAATAATAAAGTACCTACCATAGGAATTACTCAGTGTAGAGCTGGCATAGCTCTGATTATAGGCAGAAGTACCACATGACCTGACAGTATTTAGACATTGATGTTGTATCCACAGACTTTTTAATTCCCCCCCAAAATTTATATTCCAGCTTAAAAGAAATTGTTTGTTGCAATGTGGAAGATAGATCAGAGTAAGACAGTCTAGAGGTTAGAATACTGAGATGATCAAGGCAAAAAATAAATAAATAAATAACAGGCAGTGTTACAGCATAATAGCATGGGACGAGAGGCCTGAGAGTAAATGAATAAAGGACTAAGTTGCCCTAGCAGTTCTTGAGAAAGATGTCAATCACTACAAGCCTCAGTTTTCCCATGGATTCTACAGTCTCACAGAGCTAGTCTTTAGATTTAAAGTAATATGTTAGTTAGATATTTTCATTGATTCATTCATTCAGCAAATATTTATTATGTCCTTTCTGTAAGCCAGGCAGTGTTCTGTGTGCCAGAGATAGAATATATCTGCCCTGGTGGGATTTAATCCCAGTGAGCGACAGTGCTATGGAGCATTATAGGGAAGGAGAATCAGAGAGCTGGAGAGATTTTACTGTTAAGTAGGGTTATCAGGAGTGGCTTTCCTGAGTCAGTGATACTTGAGTAAAGAAGGAAATAAGAGGATAATTGTGTGTATCTGAGGCAAGCGCATTTTAGCAAAGGACATAACATGTATAAAGATGCGGAGGTGGGAGCATGCCTCTCCCCATTCAAGGAACAGCACAGAGTGAGTGCAGAGATGAGTGGGAGACCAGAACCTTCCAATAAGAGAGTCGAATCTACAGAAACTTTGACACTATGGTAATGACTTTGACTTTCACTTGGAATGAGGTAGGAAACCTTGGGAGAATTTTGGGTGATGAGTGATAATGATCTAACTTAGGTATTAAGATCATCACTTTATTGTAGACAAGGGAACAGACTAGAGGGGGACAAAGACCGAAGGAAGAAAACGATGAGGAGGTGAGTGCAGGAAGAGGGGTGAAAGCGACAATGGCCAGGACAGGCCACAGCAGTGCAGGGGTGGGAAGGGGCTGGACTGTGGATATGCTTTGAAAATACAGCTGATGGAATGTGAGGTGGTGAGGTGAAGATGAGTCAAGGAAGAGTTCCGTGGTTTTTATCCTGAGCAATTAGAGGGATAGAGTCCCCATTAAGAGAGATGAGGAACAGGAAAGAGCAGTTTTGGAAAAGGAAGACCGGGGCTTCTTAGGAATTATGTTAAGTTCCAGATGCTTTTCAAATATCTCAAAAGAATGTTCAAGTACGGATAAATGTATGTTTAGAGGTTATACATGGAGGTCATGTATGTGCCTATTGGTAGTACCAAGTCTCCAAAATCCTCTCTTTAAAGTACAAAAGGAAATTTTTAAGATGCAACATCAGTCATAAATTTTTGAAAATCTTCTCTCTAAGACATTTTTATAGTTTGGTCACTTAAAGGATTAAGGTTCAAATATTAGGGTTCCTCAATCCCCAACAACTCCGGAAGGGACGAGTTCTTACTGCATTACTGCCATTACATGGGCATGTGTAGTTTGGCCATATTTGCCTGCCCTTCCAATTCAATTTTCAAAATGTAATCATGATTAGTCAAATTTGGACTCCATTTTTTAAAAAGTAGTGTCTGCTGCACTGAGGCAAATAGCATGCTCCTCCACCATGAAGTCTGTTTTCACTCAGGGTGAATCTAAGAGTTTTCTTCTTTGGTCACCAGATTTGACAGCCACTAAGAAAGAGATCCTAATGGTGTATGTAGGTCCCCAGACCTTTGCAACTCCCTAGGTGACCTTCTTCATATGGCATAGCAAAAAAAGAAAATAAATTTTACTCTGTATCTACAAATGATTTTTAAAACCCTCAATAACAAGACCTAAGTAGCAATAATGGAACCTACATCTTCCTGATCAGCCTGGTCTTTAAGGTCTTAGGAAGCAGAATGCAACAGAGTCACCTGAGAATACAGAAGACATCAATGAAAACTGAAAGAAATGTTATTTCAAATTGTTCACGTGGCACTTAAGCAAAAGACAGAAAACACTGAATCCTCACCATTTAAGGGAGTAAAATAATCAATGCCTTCCTTCTTATGTCTTGAGAAATGATCACATGGAACTGAGATGACCATGATGCAGATGAGCATTAGCAGAGCATGCTGGAAAACTTGACTAGTAGTAACACAGATGTGAGGAAGACGAGGTCTCTGTCTCAGGCCACACACAGTTTGGAAGAAAAAATATTCCTCTACCCCTAATTCAAAGCAGCCCCATATTTGTATTATAGGTCTTTTTGACTCTCTATTCCTGTAGTTTCAAGTGAAAATGAATTCCTTTGCCAAAATCCCAAAGCAGTAATGCTATCAGAACTAAAATAAGAACTATCAGAGCAAAAAAGAAATAAAGGATGGTTTCTATCACCCTGCATGTGCATGATCTCATCTAATCTTGGAAGCAAGGCAGGGTCGGGCCTGGTTAATCAGGGTTGGGCTTGGTAATGCTTGGATAGGAGAAATGTCAAACAGGGCAGATCTTAAAAATAAAACTTAGTGATCAGATTTTTTATTTAAATAAGAATGTAGGGGATTTTAAAAAAATTTAAAACAGATCATCCTTAAGTTAAAAATGGTACACTCTATAAAGTGAGAGTTATACTAATGGGAATACTGGAAGAATTAAGAGTGTAAACAACCAAAATGTATAAAGTAATTTGGTCTTTTCAGAAGAAACCGCTTCGTTAATATCAAGTGTGTCTCCTGGTATGCTAATTCTCTGTTGAATTGCACAGTGCAACCAGATCCACCCGTTGGCCTCAACTGGACTTTACTGAACATCAGTTTAACTGGGATTCATGCAGATATCCAAGTGAGATGGGAACCACCACCCAATGCAGATGTTCAAAAAGGATGGATAGTTCTGGAATATGAGTTACAATACAAAGAAGTAAATGAAACTCAATGGAAAATGGTAAGATGTCAGTACCTCTTACATTGTGACCTTTTTTTTTTTCAACAACCCTTCTCTCATTTATAACTAGACTTCCTTTTGACCTAATACCAAATGCCCATCCTCCTTAATTTCTTATTTGAAAGAAATTGATCACATTAATAAAATATCATTTTGACATCCTATAAGATGGGAGATGCTCATACAGAAGCCTGTGGAAGGAAGAGAACATGATTTCTCCAGTCATTCTTGTTGTCTAGTTTAACTTTAGAGCCAAACTATAGACTAGCCACTTAGCTGTCTTTGGGGATGTGGCTAAACATGGAAAAGGTTATGATCAAGGTCAGCAGTGGACCATGGTCAAATATTTTCCCATGATTTTAGATACTGGTTCTCAAAAGACTTCCCCATTAAAATGAGTTCAAAAGTGTCTCCAAATGGGAGATGGAGGGAGACAACTTATCCATTAGAGGTGTCAGAGAGATATTTTTTTACATGCCTCAGAGGAGAATCTAGCTAAGGGGTTCCTACAGAGGCAAGCAGAGAGCATGGTAGTGGTTGACCTTTGAACCCTTTCTTTCCTTACAAAGCATATGGGTGCTCAGTGCTTAGAGAAATTCCACATGGCACATAAGAAGAAGAAAAACAGGATTATCATGCTGCTCCCAATATAACTAATTCTAAATCTGTCTGACCACAGCCACAGCTCTGGCCAAGCCAAGTGGTTTCTGGCCAGTTGTCAGGTTGTGCCCAGCAGCCTGGCACTGCTTCCTCCCAGAATTTTAAGACACCAGGCCCTGTCCATTCAGTGAACCACTGAAAAAGAAGCCAATTTTGTCATTAGAGGGAAGTTAAGTTTGGAACAGCTTTGAGCAGTTACAATGCTGGGCTTTGAGGTTCTGTTTTCAGAGTCATTTTAATTTAGATATCTCTTCTGCAACTTGGTGCAAAAAAAAAGCCTGGTTAAATGCTGAATCAAACAAGACTTTCTGAATCCATGCCACAATCAAACATTTGTTCAGCAACCAGGTATTGAAGTAACCAAGTGTGTGCTCCAGGCGCCGTGCTTGGTAGCTGCGGCAGCAGTTCTCAAAGTATGAGCCACGGACCCCTGTGGCTTCCTAACACCCAAAGAATCCACAAAGTCGATACTATTTTCACATTACACTAAAATGTTATTTCCATTTTTGGCTGCATTACCATGTACATTGATGATACAATAGCAATGCTGGCACCTTGGCACGACTCAAGGCAGTATTATCCAACTTTACTAACATTAACATTATATTCTTCACCACCATGTGTTCACACCAAAGGGAAGGAACCAGTTTCACATGTGAATATGCTTGACGAAGCTATAAAAATTATTAATTTTGTTAAATCTTAACCTTTGAGTCTGTGGCTTATTAATATTCTGCCTGTGTGGTACGTGGGAAGTACACATAAAGCACGTCTACACACGGAGATACTCACGCTTGTCTTGAAGAACTTCTACACACGGAGGTACTCATGCTTGTCTTGGAGAAAAGCACTGAAAAGACTGAGTCACCAGGTGAACTAGCTGCATTTTGTTTCATGGAACAAAACATTTTTACTTGAAAGAACAACTGATAAACTGATAGATGGTTACTCATGTGTGAGATGGCAAATACTTCTCAAAAAAGAATGAAGTGATCTTGTCACTTCAAGAAAAACAACTGACAGTATTCGTTGCCAATGAAAAAATTTGACCTTTCAAGGGAAAATTAGAATGTTGGAAAGCTTCTATCTGCAACTGTAAGCTTGGTAGTTTTGCACCATTTGGACACTTTTCTTGAAGATAGTGATAGTGATATTAATGAAATTGACTTCTTTATTGTATTATGTAATAAAATATGTGAACTTCAGAAAATCTGCATAACTCCATAAACCAATATTTTCCAGATAACCAATACATGATGTAACCAAAATCAGGCATGGGGAAATGATCCATTCAAAGTAGTAGATGGAATGTGATCAATAAGAATAATATAGGGCGGCACCTATAGCTCAAAGGAGTAGGGTGCCGGCCCCATATGCTGGCAGTGGCGGGTTCAAACCCAGCCCCTGCCAAAAACTGCAAAAAAAAAAAAAAAAAATTATAAGTGTGTACAACATGATCTTTTGAAATATGGATTCATTGTGGAATATCTCAGTTAAGCTAATTAACATATGCATTACCCTACATTCTTATTACTTTTTGTGTTGAGAACATTAAAATCTACTCTCTTAGAAGTGTTCAAAATACAATACATAGTTATTAACTTTGGTTACCATGTTGTACAGTAGGTTTCTTAAATGTATCCCTCCTATCTCACTGAAATTTTTTATTCTTTCACCCCTATCTCCCCAACCCTCTACCCTACTCCCAGCCCCTAGTAACCACCATTCTAATCTCTACTTCTATGAGTTTAACTTTTTTTGGATTCCACATATAAGTAAGATCATGTGATATTTGTCCTTCTGTTCCTAGCTTATTTCACTGATCTATTGTCCTCTAGCTTCTTCCATGTTGTCACAAATTATAGGACTTCTTCCTTGTTAAGGGTTATAGTATCCATTGTGATATATATATATATATAATTTTCTTTTTTTTATTTTTACATATACTTATGATTATTAGGTTTCCATTTTTTGCCTTCACAAAATTAAAAAGGCTTAAAATTTACTAACAAGAACAATGTTAAAGATAAGGACTAGAAACAAAAACCTCGTAAAGAATGAATGAAGATAAATACATTCAGAAAAGAAATCAGACAATTGCTACAATGAAATGTTAAGCAATAATAATAATAATAATAGTAATGCAAAGGAAGTAACATTCACATTGTCAAATAAGAGTATGACTCTAATAGAATGCTTTGGCTCTGTATATAAAATTTTCTTTATCTATTTATCCATTAATAGATACTTAGGTTGATTCTATATATAGGCTGTTGTAAATGATGCTGCAATGAACGTGGGAGTACAGATATTTCTTCCACATGCTGATTTTATTTCCTTTGAATATATACCTAGTGGTAGAATAACATCATAGATCATCGACAGTTCTATTTTTAATATTTTGAGGAAGCTCTTCCTATTTTCTATAAAGGCTATACTAATTTATAATCCCACTAATAGTATGCAAGAGTTTCTTTTTCTTGACATTCTTACCAAAACCTATGTCTTTTATTTTTAATAGCTACCCTAACAACTCTGTGCACACAGTTGCCCACTATGAGGTGATATCTCCTTGCAGTTTTAATTTGCATTTCTCTAATGATCAGAGATGGCAAGTATTTTTCAGAAACCTGTTTACCATTTATACAAGGTCTGATGATGAAGTTTTGAACTCATACTAGAGAAAGCACTGCAGACCTCATTGCTGAATATCACTATAGTCATCTTCAAAGTACTGCCCTTGGGAAGCTATGCACCAATGCCAGCACCTAGTCCACCCTTCAAAGCAATTTTGGAACTCTTTTTCTGGAAAGTCTATCAGCCCTGTAGTCCTACAGCACACAAAAACACAGGACAACAATGAACACCACTCAGCAAGACACCACATGTCGACATGAGCACAACCGTGAGACACTGATATCCCAAGGTTATGAAACCCTCCTGAGGTGTTTTCTACAGTGCTGCCAACGTAAGAGCACGGTGCCAAGTTTGTGAATTTAATTGTCAGACTTCATTTGTCTTCTTTTGAGAAATATTTATTCAGGTCCTTTGCCCATTTTTTAATTGGATTATTTGTTTTCTTACCATTGAATTGTTCAATTTCCTTATATATTTTAACCCTTTACCAGATGTATGGTTTGCAAAGGTTTTCTCCTATTCTATAGATTGCCTCTTCACTATGTTGTTTCCTTTGCTGTGCAAAAGCTTTTCAGTTTGACAAAATTCCATTTGTCTATCTTCAGTTTTGTTGCCTGTGCTTTTGGGGTCATATCTGAAAAAAATCATTGCCCATACCAATGTCCAGGAGCTTTCCCCTGTGGTTTCTTCTAGTAGCTTTACAGTTTCACACTTCATATCTGTCTTCAATCCATTTTGAGTATATTTTTGTGTATGGTGTAAGGTAAAGATCTAATTTCATTCTTCTGAATATGTAATTATTTGCCTGCAAACTCTCTCAATGCATTTTAAAATATGACTCACTTTATAGAAATCCATTTTGAATCCAACTGGAGGAATACCCATGGAGTTTAATTCATTGGGTTGCTGAGTCATTAACCAATAAGCTTTTATATTTTGCCTTGAAAGATGGACCCTGTGTTGTCAACATCAGTTCCAGTCTACTCGTTGAGACTGGATAAAGAGTATGAAGTGCGTGTGAGATCCAGACAACGAAACTCAGAAAAATATGGCGACTTCAGTGAGGTGCTTTATGTAACCCTTCCTCAAATGAGCCCATTCGCATGTGAAGAAGGTAAAAATATAAAAGATTAAAATAGCAGCTAACATGGTTTTTGTCAATATAAAAGTTGATACATCCCTGCACTCTCAGCATATTGTCCTGGTCAAAATATGTTAACATCAAATGCCAGGGTGAGAAACCGCAAGCTCATTGTTTGTTAATAGATATTATCCATTGCAAAAGCAGAAGCAGGGTTTAGTTTCCAAATTATTTAATTCAGCAAAACTCTTGGGGTAGGAAGTTTAGAGATGAGAAGATGGTGGTTATCTCTGGATGGTGGAATTGCAGGTAATGCTGTTCTTTTTATATTTCTGTATTTCTAAAATTTTCTACAATGAGTGTGTTTTGAATGTCTAATAAGAAAAACGTGTTTTTCTAATGGCAAGGGGGGAAAAATTTATATCTGTATGAGTGGATGTACGTGTGACATTTGAGAAAAGTCTAAGATTGAGTCAGCATAGGTAGTCAAAGGCCAGTGCTCAAAACCAATAAGGTTTTTGAAAATGGGGAAGTGGCTTTTACCTAGAGGAAGGCCTAAGGAGTGATGTCAGGCTCAAAGGAGACGTGGAGCATCTGAAGACCCCATGTAGGAAAACCACAAAGAGAATTAAAGTCTGTAAAAATGAGACCTATGACTTCAGAATAAAAGAATTTAAAAAGTTTTAGATACAGAAATAAAGAAGACTGATTAATAATGAGCAGTTAATATGTAGCGTAGTCACTCTCAAATGGGAATTGGTAATAGCCCCTCCTCATTGAAAACAAAGTTGGCAGGGTGGTTTGAAGAGCTAAGGTTTGTTAACAAAACAGTCACAGGCTACAGAGAAATTAAATTTACATTTCTGTATTTACTATACAGGTAGAATCTCATAATACTAAGTAGCACTGAGGTGAAAATTTCTATCATATTTTTTCTATGCTCAAGATAACTGACTTCTTGTTTCCAAACTATTTAATACTGTACAATTCTGGTTTAAAAAGCACAACTGCCCATGCTTAGTATGGTGGCATTTAATTCATTTAACACAGATTCTTTTTAAATGTACTTTCCTTTCCAGGTTAAAAAAGTAAAACAGCAGCTCTAGCTTTTGGTTATTCTCCTGAAAATATTGTTGGTATTAGGTTATAGATACCACAAAATACAAAACAGTATTCTCTCTCCTACTAATTTTTTTAAATGCCCATAGTATCTCCCTGGGGGATTGTAATAACTTATTAAATGAGAAAAGACAATTACAGCATAAAAGCTTTTTTAAAAAAGAAAAAACAATATAAAGGTGAACCCCACCTGTCTTTTTTATTAAGAAATGCTTAGCCTCTGCCACTGCGGTGGGAATATTGGTAACAAACTTCCAGGTAGCTTGGAGGCACTTATTCTTAAAGGAATGAAGAAGTTTTACAGATTCCCCCAAGTCTGATACAGAGTATACTAAAACCTGAAGATGGGAGCCTCAGTGCTGATCTTTCTGTCATAGGAGATATATATGTATGTTATTAATTTAGTAATTTAATTATAAATGTATATTTAAAGCTATAAAAAATATGTTCCACATTTCTAAGAAGTTTCTGTCATGATTTATAAATAAAAAGTCTATTCCTAATCTTTTGAAGACCTCCTCAATCTGGAGCCTAAAATATATTAATTACTACATAGCCAGGTACTGTGGCTCATGCCTGTAGTCCCAGCACTCTGGGAGGCCAAAGCGGGTGGATTGCCTGAGCTCAGGAGTTTGAGACTAGCCTGAGCAGGAGTGAGAATCTGTCTCTACTAAAAATAGAAAAACTAGCTGGGTGTGGTGGTAGGTGCCTGTAGTCCCAACTGCTCGGGAGGCTGAGGCAAGAGGATTTATTGAGCCCAAGAGTTTGAGGTTGCTGTGAGCTGTGACTCCAATGGCACTCAACCGAGGGCAACAAGTGAGACTCTGTCTCAAAAAAAAAAAATCACTATACTTAAAAAAAAAAAAAAAAAAAAAAACCGGGGCATTACTTAAGTAGTATGTTAACGAGCAACCCCTTTTTCCTAGAATTGAAGCATTTAATGATATTCCCTGGATACATAAGAGCTTAAAGTAGTTTATTTTGTTTTTGTTTTAAACATGCATTGTGTTTCAACTCTATGTTGTTTCTTCATTTTGAATTTTTTATATATAAATATGAAAGGATTTGAAAATTGGAAAGAAGTGTTCTTAGAATGGAAAAAAAAAAAACAATTCATTGCATTCTGTTCCAGTAGTTATCAGGGGAAACCACTGACTTTACTAGATGAATATAAATTAGGAAACATTTTTATGTGAAAAACAAAAGTGAAATATAAATTTTGCTTCACCTATTCATAATTCTGTGACTGACATATTCTTGTGTGTTTCAGATTTCCGGTTTCCATGGTTCTTAATTATTATCTTTGGAATATTTGGGCTGATGGCCATGCTATTTGTATTTGGATTTTCTAAACAGCAAAGGTAGGTATGAAATAGTCTTCTTTGAATGTTTCTGCCAGTTATCTTGATTTTCATGTATGTATCCATTTGTGTCTTGATATTTTCTTTTGCAAATTTTAATTAACCCAGAAACGTTTATCTTCAGTTATACATTTACCATTTATAGAAAACTGAATTTCTTGTGTTCCTCATAGAGAACTTACAGGTTTAGATTCTATCTGGGAAGTTGTACAGGGCACTAAGAGGCTCAGGCTGTGACTAAGCATGCCCTGTGATATGCACCTTTCTATCCAAGTCCTCAACAAGTTTACCCGTTCATTCCAGGACCCCAGGCTATGACTGAGCCTCTGACCGAGTCTGATGCCATCTTATATACAGGCAAATTTAAGTGGCAAAGTAAAGGTACTTAGATAATTCAAATGAGACCTTTATATACTTTATATGATGGCAATTTCAAGCAAATTTGTCTTTTATTCAAAATATTTGAATACGTATAATTTTGTATTTCATCTATAATTATAAATGCAGTTAAAATTATTTCTAAGTTTGAAGAGACTCAATTCTGCATTCTCATGGCGCCAAAAGACTTGAGTTCTAGCAGCACCTGTGGCTCAGTGGGTAGAGCGCCAGCCCCATATACCGAGGGTGATGGGTTCAAACCAGCCCTGGCCAAACTGCAACAACAAAAATACCCAGCCATTGTGGCAGGTGTCCGTAGTCCCAGCTACTGGGGAGGCTGAGGCAAGAGAATCGTCTAAGCCCAGGAGTTGGAAATTGCTGTGAGCTGTGATACTACAGCACTCTATCGAGGGTGATAAAGTGAGACTGTCTCTCTAAAAAAAAAAAAAAAAAGACTTGAGTTCCCAGTCGTATTTTCCCACAACTTTTTATCTTGCTGAGTCCTTTAGCCTCTTTGGGCCCCTATATTCCCATGGATAATATGAGGGCGGGGGTTATATGACCTTTACGTTTCCCTGTAGCTGTAGCTGTGGGATGCTATTATTCGTTTTTCTTTCTGAAAGAAACCCAGTATTCATTACAAGAAATTTGTTATACACAATATAGGGAAAATGACTGGTACAATTTGCCAATTTCTTATATTCAGGATATTTTTTAACCATAGGTTAATCTTGCTCCTTCTTCTCTTTAGAAGTAGAGTGACTAACTCTCCCAGGTTGCCTAAGACTCTCCTGGGGTTAGCAACACAAGCTCCGTGTCCCAGAAAATCCTTCAGTTCTAAGGCAACCAAGAGTTGATTACCTTACCTAGAATTGAAAGCAAGTTCTCCAGCTGAAGCCAAGAGAACCTCCAAATCAAAATGGGATCTATATGAATATATTGTAAAAGCTTGTAATTTGTTTTTTGAAGTACTACAGCATTTGTAAACTTCAAAATAGTATTTCATTAGGAAGAAGAATTCTTGGAATGCTAGAATTCTAGAATGTCAAGGGTACTCAAAGTCTGCAACTGAATGCAAAAAGAGTCATATTCAGTAGAGTTTCAGACCCTATTTTCTAATGTAAACCAACAGGAAGCAAAATGCACTCTGCAGAATTTCATTTTCCACCTAACTTTCTAGCAGCATTCCAATTTTACAAAAACAACTGTTATTCATCAGGATAGCACCATTTTCAGTTTTGGGGGGAAAATAAATAAATAAATAAGAGTATATTTTTAGAATTTTAAGTAATTTCTGTATTTAATTAATACCAATAACAAAAGTGCCAAATTATTCTTTTGATTGATTTGAATTCATTAATCTATACAGATGGCGGGATAATTTATACATAACTTCAAAAATGAACCCACCATGTATGTAATTTGCTTTCAATTACAAGTCATTGTGAAGGCCAAGTTAATTTATTATGTTGTTTAATTAGCTAGCAGTATTTGAAACAAAAATATTATCCTGTCAAGAAATAAGATTTCGAAGAAAATGTATTAACTCTTTTTTTTAAAAGGTAGTTTTTATCTTTTTCTTCAATTTCCATAGGTTTAGGTCTATAAGTGATTTTTGATTATATGAATGAACTGTATGGCGGTGCTGTCTGGATTTTTAGTGTACCCATCACCCAAATAGTGTCCATTGCACCGGACAGGGAGTTTATCTCCTCTCACTCCCCTCTCATCCTTTCCCCTTCTGAGTCTCCAGTGTCCATTGCAACATACAGTATTTGGTTTTCCATTCCTGCTTTATTCACTTGGGATAATGGCCTGTGTTTCATCCAAGATATTATTTCATCTTTTGGTATGGCTGAGTAGTATTTCATGGTGTACAGAAACCATATTTTCTTTGTTCACTCCTCAGTTGATGGACACTTAGGTTAGTTCCACACCTTTGCCATTGTGAATTGTATGGCAGTAAACATACACTCACAGGTGGCTTTTAGATATAATGACTTCTTTTCCTAAAAGAATTTTTTTGTGAATAATGAACTTGAACTTAATGATTTATCAAAACCATCAAACTGTAAAATGTATTTGAAATCTTTTACTCTCAATTTCCTGGCTAAATTGTATTCTTTGTAGAAAGAATTAAATTTTCTTTCATCAGCCTATTGGAAACCCTTACTATTGTCTAAATATGTATGTTCTCTTGAAAGTAGAAAAAACAATTGTCAGCCAGTATAAAGAAAACATGTAGTTACAACAATTAAAATGATACTCCAAAGAATAAATTGCTTATACTACATATCAGTCTTCCCTAGAAATCTAGAATGGTAAAGGGCCTTAGGTTCTACATGTCTTTTAAATTTTATGAGTTCATAATTCATTGTCCAAGCCACTTGACCCTGTCTTGATCTAGATAATTAAGATTCAACTCTAGAAAAATATAGAGGGTGGCCATAAAGTTCATATGCAATTTTAAATGTGTAGGCAATCTCCAGGTTATGGACAACCCAACTTGTGGCATTCTGTACTTACACATTGGTTCCCAATGCTCCCCAGTAAGATAATTTATAATTAAATGATTAAAGGAATAATTTGGGGACTAGTTTGTTCCATGCATGTAAACAAACTCATATGGCATAAGTGGTTCATGGACACAGCATCTTTATAATAGCAGCTAGTCTCATTGTCTGTATGGTCACTTAAGCACAGCATGACTTTTGCTCAACTTTTTCATTTAATTTTGTGAGTCTGTATTTATCCTTATGACCATGCCTCCAAAGGAAAAGTTCACTGCCTGTCCAGATGAGCCTGCAGTGAAGAGAAAGATGATTACAATGGAAATGAAAGTAGAAATAATTAAGGGCTTGGATAAAGGCCAGACACCAGTATTCACTAGGAAAACATTGGGCTTCAGTTTCCAACTATTGTAATTATAAAGGATAAAGTAAGAATAATAGAACATGTGAAAAGCTGTGCTCCAATGAAAGCATCAATTATTACTAAGCAGCATAGTAGATTAATTATTGAAACAGAAAGATTACTATTGATTTGGTTAGATCAAAATAAGTATAACATTCCTACTAGCCTAGGATTGATACTTTTGGTAAATACTAACCTTTAATATTCTATTTGAAATTTCTCCTATCTAAATGTAGTTTCAAACCAGGGTATCTTTACTCTATATTGCTTCCCATCATGTAACGCAGCCATAGAGCTATTACTAATGGAGGAAAGAAATAGCTGAACCAGTACAAAACAGAAGTTGCAAATTGAGAAAATTCAGACTGCAGATTCATGTTCTGTTATATTTTACTTACTTTTGATTCTGGAGAAAAGATTTGGCTATACAGTGTTTACAAAGTAGGCTTGGCGCCCGTAGCTCAGTGGTTACAGTGCCAGCCACATACACAGAGGGTGGCAGGTTCAAACCCAGCCCGGGCCAGCTAAACAATGACAACTACAACAAAAAAATAGCTGGGTGTTGTGGCAGGTGCCTGTAGGCCCAGCTACTTGGGAGGCTGAGGCAAGAGAATCGCTTAAGCCTAAGAGTTGGAGGTTGCTGTGAGCTGTGACGCTATAGCCCTCTACCAAGGGTGACATAGTAAGACTCTGTCTCCACAACAACAACAAAAAAAGTGTTTACAAAATAGAGAATTTTCGCAGATTTCTGGATTATTTTTAAAAACTGAAGGACCTCATGAAACTGGACTGATGTTCTAGCAATGCAGTACATATTGAAGTGGAGAACCAGCTGTCCCTTTTGGGAAGGCCATACATTCTCCAGTTTGCCACCATCCTCCTGCTTTCTAATGGTGTAGCAACTGTCCTGCTTCATTCATTTGCATGACTTGCTTGGGTCAGGTCTGCCCCTGTGGTGTGGAGTCTCTACCTGGAAAACCACTAACACGGAGAAGGGAGGGGGGGAATGGGTGGAGGGAGGGGGTTCGGACGGATCACTTCTGAGGTTTATCTTATAGGGGTACAAGTGAATCTTTTTAAGAGTAGAATGTGAACGTTTTAAAACAATAACTGAGAAAATGACATGAAGGCTATGTTGACCAGTTTGATGGAAGTATTTCGGATTGCATGTGAAAACCCCACACTGTACCCCAGAAGTGCATTAATGTACATAGTTACCATTCAATAAAAAAAAAAAGACTTAGTGAAAAATAAAACTCTTATCCAACAATGAAAAAAAAAAAAGAAAACCACTAACACATGCCTACATGCATCATCCTCTTCAGAAAGGAGAGGTACACATCACAGAGTCAAACTTTAGCCACTTGGGAATCTTTGCTTCCTGTGATCAGGTTCTGTTACATCTTTTTTAAGCTTTTAAAAATTTGGTATAAGCATTTAGCCATATAGAACCAAATAACACAGCATGACAGTCAAAGAGCCTGGGTTTTGGAGTCATGTTCTATAGGTCCCCAACAGTGCCAAGTATTAGTGCGTAAATTGAGAGTGCTTCTTCATTCTCCAAATCTTTGCATAGATAATATCATCTGCCTCCCTAGTAGTTATAAGGACCAAATGAAATATTTAGCACAGGTGTCAACAAACTTGTTTTATAAAAGAGTCAGTAAATTTGGAAGCATATTCAGCCAGACAGTCTTGGTCACAGCTACTCAATTCTGCCACTGTGCTAGAAAACAGCCATAGACAATATATAAATGAATGAAGATGTCTCTGTCCCCAGAAAACTTTATCTATAAAGTAGGTGGCAGGCCAGGTTTGACCCACAAGCCATAATTTGCTGATCCATTATTGAGTACAATGTATATCCCACAGTGTCTCATTTATCAGAAGCATTCAAAAATGATGGCAGTTATTAATAATTGAATTATTTATTTCTGTATCTGCTACTCATCAATAACAATTTGCTTTAACATTGAGTAAGGACAATAGAGGTCTCAAATTTGTCTTATTCCTTAGATTAGGTAAAAAGGCAGGTACCAATAGTCAGAGAATGCATTGCTTATCGAATAGACTGGCCATTCACACTGAGTGGAATATCAACCGATATCCAACCATCAGGTTACCATCTCTGCCCAACAGTGGCCTGTCTAAACACTTAGACGATTTTTATTTTAACAATGAAATGAGTTGGTTGAAATGGATCATTTCTGAGCTTTTTTTTTTCCAGAGCTACAATGCTGATTTTAAAACATAAACTCCAGTAACACTAATTAGCAAAATAAATGACTTGTTTAGGTTTATTCATGAAATGTTTATTGAGCACCTTCCCTGGGCCAGGAACTATGCCAGTGCTGGAAATACAAGAAGGCACACGAAAAGCAGGATAGACATTGAAATGAGTTACAACCAAAAATAATAGTAAATATTTGGAACAAAAAATATAAATGCATCATAGAATTCTGCATATAAATCTGTACCAATTAAAAATAGGTCAGATTAGTCATGTCACATCCAAAATGACCCCTGAAGTAACACTCTGGTTGATGAGGTCAGCTGGGATAGTGTTAGAGTCCTGTGAACTATGTAGCGCTAATTCATCCCAGTCTACCCTTTCTCAGGAGCACAACTGAATTAGGCTCCATGAGGACTGGCTCTTTCTTTTTTCTTTCTTTCATGTGCATTAAAACTGCCTTCCTTATAACTGACATGGAAATTGACTTCAGATAGAATTAAATCTCTTACTCTCCACTACTAAAGTTGGTTGTCAATAAACTACATTTAAAAAAAAAAAA